TTTTGCACTTTCGCTACTTCCCATCGACGTGTCGACCTATCTAGGCAGCCTCTTCTCGAGTTGACAGGTTTTACCATGATGGCTAGATGACTTGCTCCAGCTTCACAAGAGTTCACAGGTTTCGCCAGAGTGAGACTTGTAAACCGGAACTAGGGAAGCAATGATAGTACAAAATGCCCCCCCCCCCGTCGTCAAACTGCGCCGGAATTTTGATCTTTTTGACAGTCCTGTTCAAGCACCAGGTATACGTTTGGCAATTTCCTCTTTATCTAGCACGCAACTAAGGGGTGTTGACCGTCCATTTTCGTTCTCTTCTGGTCCTGAACGTGCCTTATTTTTCACGATTGCTTTACAATATTGTGCACGACTCTTTGAGAAACTGCGGCTTTCAGGAAACCGCTGAGTGCTTCACACTATTCGCTGCTTAACTCTTAATCGCATTGCGACTTGGGCAGACCTTGACAGCATGGTTCACCGAAACGAACAAATATTTCGAAATTAGAAAGCGAATAACTGAAAAAATTATTAGAAGCCCCATTTAATTACTAAGGCCGCTTACCTACGGTGTCGAAATCGCGTGCGCATACTTTTTCTCCACGTTGTACCCACATTCCACACCCCTGAAACATGGTAGGCGTGGCTGTCCACAATCGTGCACTATGGCTAGGCGACAACATTGCTATCAACTAGCGGCGCCGCAAATTCAGTGCCCCCTCCCATGACGACGCTGCCGCTCGCTCTCAAATGAAGAGGCTAGCCACGCCTACCGTATCTCAGAGATCTGGTGTCTAAGGCAAGAAGCACTGTGCGATTAACCCGAAATGTTGCAGGTCAGCTGTCCGGATCGTTGTTCTTATGCTTTTGATGTGTCACTCGGTTTATACTACCTTCACAGTAAGCGCTGCATGCATCGGTATGCAACTAGGGAATTTTTTATATACATTCTTTTCCTGTTCTGTTTAAATTCTGCTTCCTACGTCTAGAAACCGTGACATCCCGGAAAGTTAGTGCCCTAACGCTGGTTAGCGATTACACCACGTACAGAATAGCTCTCTGCACAGTGGCGATTCGCAGTCGCCGACAATGCGCCTCTTCCGCCACTTTGGCTTTTTCGTAAGGCTGCGTTCATACTTTGCGGCAGCGTCAATCAGCGTCTACCAGCGTGTACCAGCGTCTAGAGGGCCTGGAGAGCATAGGTATCGATCTAGCCCTGCCGTCGTGTACCTGCGTCCGCCAGCTTCCGGGAGAAGAGAGTATGGCGCGAGGAGGATACCAGACAGCTGGTATCCTCCTATCTCCCCATACTCTACCAGCTGTCTGCTACCCTCCTATCTTCCCATACTCTCCTCTCCCGAACGCTGGTAGCCTTTACATAGATACCTTTACTTCCCACGCCCTCGAAAAGCTAATGGACGCTTCCGCAAAATATGAACGCAGCCAAAGAACGCCGCAAATCCGACACGTTTGTCAAGCTCCGCCCTTGTTCTCGATCTCCACCTCTATTCAGATATTCCATTCTATGGTCGCTGTTTGGCAGTGGGTCTCGCTCGGCTCTGAACTCTCTCGCAAGCTTGGGATCCCTTCGCCGTGCTCACATTAAGCTTGAACCAACTGGGGTCTCAATCAAAGCATTTTTGGTGTTTTCTTTCCAACATTTTCCCCACTGTTACTTCTCAACATAACACTGGAATCTAAACTGGGCACGATTTGTTATCATGGAGCGTGCCCTGAAGTTTACTCACTGGTCTTACCTAGATGGATCCTGTTGCATTCAAAGAACCAGTTTTCGCTTTTGAATACTTTACTCTTTCTTTTTTAGTGATATAGCATGCAGGAATTGTTTAATTGATAATCAGCGGAATATTGTTAAAATATCTGATTTCGGTCTGTCAAAGCAGGCAGACAAATATAAAATTACAAGGCTTCGAAAAGATACCTGTTAAATGGTAAGAAATATGAATTGTTTGACATGAGAAAGATGTTCGGGGGAGTTGCCAATAAATGAACTTAGCACGTTTTTCTGGTTTCTCGAGGGGTATGGGGTTTGCTGCTTCACTGTGGGTCTGGCATCGAAGAAA